AAACGCTCGTTGAATGAATACTTGCAGTCGTTCCTACCAAACTACCGCCAACTGACCGCCATTTCTTTAGATGCCATCTTCGTTAAACAACCGTCATATACAGTAGACTGAAGTGAACATTTTTCTACCATATTTATTATTGCCAATTCTATTATTTATAAGTATAAAATATATTTAATGAAAATAAAATCGAAATTACGGTTACATATTGTGTGAATTATTAAACTAGATAGTCCATTATCAAGTGGGCAGAAGCGAAAAGCGGCCACAAGGGGTGATCGCAGCCGACAGCAGAACCGCCACACACCTGATCCGCTCTGATATGACCAAATAAGAATATCGTGGTGCCCCAATTATTTGCATATCACTGACTTACTACAGGTTTGTCGGTTGATTGAGCCGAAGCAGCATGGACTTAATGCATTGTTGAAAGGAATTTGGTGTAAAGACAGACCTTCTCTTGAGGATATTGGAACCCCATACCTGCTGAGTTAAAAGCTGACCTCTTTGCCACTCTGCTCTCACGCCGAAAGTTGTTATAAATAGTTTATTGATTTACAATGTTGTAACTGAGACGGCTGAATGTGAATGAACTTCAAAGTATATTTGGACACTAAAAAGCAAGTATACGTTTCTGGAAAAACAACGTTAAAAAAATTTTCACGTTTCCCGTAGAAACCAGCAAATGGAAGAATCCCCCGTGCTTCTACAGCTGCGCGTTAGAAAAACTCCTTCACTTGACGTAAATCAGGTCGATGACGGCCGTTTCGTACTCTTTGTACAGCGGTAGATGAGTGGCCATAAAGTTTTGCAGTTCCGCCTTCCTCTTCTGTACGTACTTCTGACCGAACGCATAGTCGTAATACGACGAAAACTCGATCTGCAAAACTTTCACGTCGATCTTGTCCATCGGTGTCGATCGTAGCACAGGTATTTCAGCCCTCTCGATGTCCAGAACCATGTAATCGATCTTCGTTTGGTTGATCGCCATGAGGACAGAGATCAAAGGGAAGCACCAGACGGTGCCGACCTCGATGCGCCGTTCGTACTGTAAAGGCAGCATGCGCCACCATTCAGTGTAGTCGTCCAGAGCACCCAAGTCACCCGCCCCGATCATCTTCATCTTACGGGGTTTAGGGTCGCCGCTGAGGCAACCCCTCAACGTCCACGCCTTGCGTTTCTTGCATCTCAACTTGGCGTAGTTCATTTTACTTGGTTCCACCAACAGCCCGGTCCAATTTAAACTCTTTTCGAAATACAAACTGTTGGATAACTCCTCTCCGTCGTAGGCACCGGCTTCGACGAAGAACCCGTTTCGTTTATGCTTCAGCAGGGTCGCCACAATCGTACTTTGGTTGTATTGCGAATAGTCGAGTTTCGTCACATCGTCCAAACAATATGCTATACGTCGCTCTGCCGGGGGTTCCAAATAATACTTGTATATGTGGCTAAGCAGACGGGGGTCATCAGCATCGTACTTTGCAATATAGTCATCGTCCCACAACGAGTCGTCATAAGTCGAATAAAACAACGGCTTTCGTTGAATGACTGCACGAAATGCCAGTAACAAAACACATACGCACAGAAGTGCACAGATCGGATAACGAACAATTTTCCTCAATGACCGCCAACAACTTCGGAGAAGCATGCCTTGCTGAAAAGAATAAGCATTAATTGATTGAACACCAAATAGTTGACGAATTCGAAAACACGTCCACGCTTTGAGCAGCAAAATCAATACATGTGTCATGCACATATGATGAAAGATAAGCGTACGAGAAGAAAAAGCATGTCTGAAAAATTTCATGAACCTAAAACCGGCCAAATGACTATTGACTAATCGGTGCATGAGATGGTTAGAAAAACTAGATAATCTTCCAGGGATAATGCAAATCCGTCAAAGGGTTACGCGATCTAGTGGCAAAAACAACTGACACAAATATCCAACCGTAGTGCAAGCCAGTTACATCACTCAACACTGGTTCTCGAAAATTACGGTATTTCTATTGCATAAAGAGAAAGAATGACGATTCTCTGAAAGCGGAACTTCAAGGCTAAA